AAAGCCATTTTAGGTAAGCTTCCACTCTACATATGTGCCAGATTTGCCCCAGTTTGTGACTCTTACAAACTCAGATCCAGTGCCTGGATACGGTTCCAGGTTCCTGCTGTACGGACTGAGGCTGGAAAAAGGAGTCTTTCTTATTATGGTCCTTGGTCTTGGAATGACCTTCAATCACGCCTTAAACTGAGGGCACTTGTCTCTATTTCATGTTTTAAATTGAAGTTGTCTGAAGTCCTTACCACCAGCTGCTCTTGCAGTAACAAGTAGTGTACTTTTTTTATTGTCCTAATGTGCACAATGTAGTGACTGCTTTTTCGTCTTTTGTTTTCTTTATGTTCTCTGTATTTTATATGTTTGTGTTATGTGTTATGTGTAACGTTGCTGCCTTCTTGGCCAGGTCAGCATTGAAAATGAGATTTTATCTCAATGTTTTTTATCTGGTTAAATAAAGGTTAAATAAAAAAAAAAAAAAATACATTTTATCTTTCTCAGATGGGGCAATAATGTAGCACATACTTTATCAAGCCAGATGTCACTAGGTCTTCACATGGGAGTTCTCGACTTCAACACTAATTAAAACGCATTGAATATGTATATACAAGGGCCCTATCTGCCAATTTAACATTATTGCTTTCACTTTTTATAAAGCTTATTAATTTCCTGAAACAGTCAGTCATCAAACAAACAGTGAATTTGTTTGGGGACTATTTTCAGCGGCGGACTTATCCAGATTTGTTATTCTAGTGAGTATTTGTGGCAGCATATTGTGGATGGAGTCAGTATATGTGTGTGTTCATGGTGATGGAGCTTAATGTTAGGCGTGAGGGGATCTGCTGTTCCCTCTGCAGTAATTCATTTCTTCATTGCTTTTTTAATCAACCCAGTCTCTTCAGTCTGTGTTGATCACAGATTAAGCTCAGCTGACAAAATAGCATCAGCCAAGTACACCATGAGCTTTCCTGGTTACCCTGGTAACAGCATTCACATCGACGTCAGCCAGCCAGTCACGCTCTTGTAAATTATAACTGAAGAAAAATAACAGTATGAGCAATAATCACAAATCAATGATGAGACTCTAAACAAAAGTCTGGGAATGAAAAAGTTGAGGCTTGAATTAAAAAAAATATAGACCACTGAGGAAAGTATTTTAAAAGGCCCATGTTATGCTTTTCTGGTTATTACCCATCCCCTTGTGTGTTATGAAGCTTTTTATGCATGTAAACGGTCTGCAAAGTCACAAACCCTCAAAGTACACCCTGTAGCGAGTAAAACTCTAACACAGAAAAGACCTGTCTATGCTGCCCCAGAACGCCTCGTTGGAGATTTCTCTTTTTCCATTTTTTTCTTCTTGGGTATAGTGACGTTATGTTAAGAGCTCACACACACACACTCAATCTTTTCTCAGCTGCAGCTCCGGGGATTCCTCAGCCTGAGACGGCGGGACGCGGCGAGGCTGTGAGTCTGTGTGTGAGCTCACACAAACTCCCAGCCAGGCTGCGGGTGTGTGTGTGTGCTCGGGCTGGTTTCGGGCTGGTTTCGGGCTGGGTTTCGCTGTGTCTCGCTGTCTCGCAGACGGCCACTGGGCTCACAGGGGGGGGGGGGGCAGGAGCACCAACAAGCCGTTTAGGACAGAGAGTGAATATACATACTATACAGAGATGCTGTATGAAAAACCAATGTGAGTTTGGAAAATTGCACAATATAAATATATTCTAGTAGACCTCAACAATGGAATTATGATCAGTAGAAATGGCCATGACATGGGACCTTTAAGTTGCTCTGCACTGGAACTTGATTTTACAGAGTAGCAATATGAGCTGAAATTCTGGCAAAATTAAATGGCAGGACAGACAGGACAGATGACTCAGACCGCTACATATTCATCGTGTTCCATCCATCGCTGTGCATCTGGCTAGTTTGATTGCCTATTAATCAGGATGTGTAGAAACATGATGCTGATATCAATCTTTTCATACCACAAGAAACAACATTTGAATAGGAATTGTTGATCTATTCCTTAAACTTAAGTTACGTGACTGAATGAATTATTTAAAAAACAGTTGGACACTGTTTATACAGTAGGGGAATAAACTCATGCGTCAAATGCTAAAGACAGCAGTGAGTTCATAGAGGAAGAAAAGAGAGCAACTAGATATCTTAGGAATACAACACAAGACCCTACATTTATATATTATTGTTACTGCCTGCCAGATTGCTCTTGCTAAATCTACCTTAATAACTTTTCTGTTTTACTTCATGTAGCTGTGGACAATTAGAGGATTCTAGCTGAACGCACCAATGTTTGTTGTGGTGTTGCATTTTGGGTAGTTCAGGTTTTGACAAGGAAGAAGGTGCTAAATGTTTAAAGGGTTCTGTTGTCCTACTGTCCATTTTAAGTCTAACAATGATCTCACAATGTGCAATGATAAGTCAGTGAAGTGCTATTTTACATGACTAGCTAAACCTCAACTGCACTCCTTTGGCAAGTAGTTTTGAAACCAATGAGGTCAATATTTAAATGTAAAGAAAGAAGTCAATGTCAGTGCAGTAAATATTTATGAATGACTTCTGAGCTATACTATTTAAAACATCGTTTAGCTAGCTAACTAGCTTATCTTTTCTCAAAATCCTAATGGTACTTTCACATTTATTTTCATAGGCATACCGTTACAGGCTATCATGTCTCATCATACTCATCTCTTACATTATCATCCTCACTGAGACAACAAGAAAATAAGCCTTCTAAGAACAGCTGCCACGCAGAGCAGCAGGAAGTTCAGTTTTAATCAACAATGCTATCATTCTCTATAGAGTGGCGAAGTCACGCCCACTTACTTCCGGGTAATGGGACCTTATTTCGGAAAAATTATGCATTGAAGTCAATGGGGAGAGAAAACTTATCTTTCGATCCCGTTTGAATTGTGCCATGAATTACACATATGATGTTTGTCAATCTTAAAAAATCATTTCCATGTCAAAAAAGTCACAGTTTGTCGTAAAACTGTTGAAATATAAGACTATGAAAAATACGCAACTAGAAAGACTACAAATCCCAGAGTCGCATAAGTGATGTCACAATTGAGACACTACGATATACGTATAATACCGTATATATACGATCAGCGCCATATAGATAGAATCTATCTATATGGCGCTGGCTAAGATAAGATAACTTTCACAAGATGCCTGTGTGCTTAGTACCAGGTTGTTATTATACCAGCAATGGGTCTTGCTCGTTCTTTCGCTTCCCGTCTGATGAAAGAGGAGTGTGTGGATCAAGCTAGCTAGTAGCTAGCACGTTAGTTAGCATTACAGCCTTGTCATTTTTATTAGCCTTAACATGAAGTAACATTAAGTAACCCAAAATGTTAAACAGTAAGAGTAGTAGTCATATTTCGTGAACCCTTTGAATAGTACTGTCACCGGTGTGATCATTCTATAATACACCATTTAAGCCCGGGGGAGAAATGCTAACGCTAACGTTAGCATCGGCGATCTTCTCTACTTCATGCTATCTGCACAAATGGTTGACATTAAACATTAAAACGACCAGGCAGTTCAGAGAGAATCAAAGGAAGGCAGGCAGGCAGCTTTGCATGACATTCTTCAGGACGTGTTTCATTGTGGTGATAGTGAGGGTAGTCAATCGTTGTGTTGACAAGACAGTAGTGACGGCCATCTTGGTGACGTGTGTTGTTGACCAGAGATGTAGTTCATTGAGCGTTTCACACAAACAAATGTGTTACTTCACAGTTTTACGACACATTTTTTTTTTTTTTTACTTGCAAAATTATCTTTTAAATTGACAAACATCATATGTGTAATTCGTGGCACAATTCAAACGGGATCGAAAGATAATCTTTCTCTCTCCATTGACTTCAATGCATAACTTTTCCGAAATAAGGTCCCATGGGGCTCAACCGGAAGGGGAGGGACTTCGCCACTCTATAGGACTGAGCTAAAGGTCCCTCCAAAGACGGGACAAGTGTACAGTAGATAGTGTAATTCTTTAAAATGTACAGGTTTGGAGGTTGTAAACTGTGAAAATTAGCTTACTTTCTTTGTCTCTATCATAGTAAACCGAATGTCTTTGGATTAATGACTGTTGGTTGGACAAAAACAAGCTATTTTATTATGGTATATGGGATGGTAATTTTTCTGACGTTTTGTAAAGCAAACAACGAATGAATTGATTGAGCATATTATGAATCATTTCAATGTATATCTCCTTCTGTAACCCATCCTGCTTTTAGTACAGAATAAATCATATGCGGGAGACTAGAAAGAATATCCATAGTGGGTGATATTTATGGAATTATAGCAGTAATTGTTCTTCCCTGTGAAAGTGTTTGCATGTGCCAAAAGCACAACACAATTCACAATGTAATGAATTGGCAAGGCACTTGGTTTTCTCTATATAATTACAGTGTACACATGTTTCTCACATATTGTCTCCCGGTCTGCCATCTGCTAATGACTCTTAATTATTGTAGTGTGCTACATCTTCCAGCTTATTGTTTATCTAAATTCATAAAGTGGGTTACATTTTTCATTCCAGCCAAAAAAGCAGGTCAGCTGTGTACTTTCACTACAGGCTATCACATACTGGATTTAGTCATCCCTCCATGTAATGTTGTTGTTTTTTGTATTGAAACTATCAATTATTGGTACGATACGATATACTTTATTGTCCCCGTATGGACATTTGTTCTGGACTCCGTCCTGCAGTTCCGCATACATGTACATATACAAACATAAACATGGACGCTGTCTTTAGCTATGCTTCTGTGCTAGATTAAAGATTCAAAGGCTTTAATGAATGCACTTTAGCTACGGTGTAGAAATGGCAATGAAAGTCCCGAGCTGCTCCAACAATGTAACATAGTTATATAAGACATAAAACAAAGTAACAAATCAAATAAAAATCGTGCTACATCCTCACCACAGTGCTGTTTTCCTGACATCCAGCACACAGCTACTGTAGCTGCTGAAGGTGAATTCATCTATTATTTATCGGGCTTGCAGCCAATGTTGTTCAGCTGATCCATTCACCAGAGAGCAGCGATCTGTTCTGTATGGGAGTCTCTTCAGCAAAGGCAGACTCTTTCTGGCTAGAAATAATGGATTATAATTATAATATGCTTCCTGGAATATACTTATGTATTGACTTTAGGGAAAATGTTCCAAACTAACTGCAACCAATTTCTTAAAAACTTGACCATGGTCCCAACAGTTAGCTTCAAGTATTGAACTTTACCCTTACACCAAATCCAACATTGGGACATATTTTCCACATGAAATATAAAAACATTCCCCAAGCATCTTGACATTCATGTTCTACAGTTGATGCAACCTTTCCATAATTAAAACTAAACAGTCTATATTCAATTTCAAACCAACATACATTGTTGCATTCAAATATGCTTGCACATTATACTGACTAATGCATATAAAGCCTCTGTGAAGGAATATAAACACATTTGAATAAAGACATGCAAATTGAGTGCTAATTCATAAATGCACAAAGGAGCAAATATAAATCAGTGAATATGTATTTTACATTACCAGCATATTCTTTAACATGGCCTAGTTCCATTTATTTGTTTATACAGACAACGAATATTAATCGTGGAGGTGTGTGGCGAAGTGGGTTATGCGCTGGTGTTCGGGTCAGGGGGTCACAGGTTCAAACCCCACTGCAGTCAGCATGTCGTTGTGTCCCTGAGACACTTCACCCCAAATTGCTCCTGTGGGGATTGCCCACAGTATTGAGTATGTAAGTCGCTTTGGATAAAAGCGTCTAACAAGTAACATGTAATGTAATGTAATGTCATGTAATCACGTTTGTGTAAAATGCAAAAGTGTTAGAAACATTTTTTAAATAGAAAAATAAAAAAGTTTACAATAAATAATACAAAAATAAATGAGGCAACATCTATGATGGCACATTGAACAGAAATATGTAAAAACAAATATATATTATTACTTGAATTAATTAAAATGTTGTGTCTAGTCGGTCGTGCTGAGCTTGTGGTCATTCTTTGTGTGTTTGTCGCTTTAGAAGACATTTTTAAGATTACACTGCCTATTAGATCTTTTATCTTAAAAAATGCTTTAAGAAAATACATATTCTTGGTTGGTTCCATGTATAACTTTAGCATTGTGGGGTTTAATGACCACTGCAGCCTCTAGATCCTATTAGCATGGACAGTTATTAATACCCAGAGCTCCCTTTACTCTGTCAGGCATACACTTTACAAACTGTGTGTCTGTGCGTATTCTTGAAAGGATCAATTTCATTTGTGGTGAAACGACTAATAACAGTGAGATCGTCTTTCTCTGCTGCTGGTTTGAATTTCTCAGTCGGCTGTGGAAAGACGATAACACTGTTGCAGCAAACAGCAAATTGTGTTTGCGTTTAGAAAGCGTTTTGTCAGGCAACAGAGAGAAACATGAGAACAGCCACACACACTCCACCACTCTGAATCGATTGGGACAGATTGTGATGAGACCAGCATATTAAAAGGATAATCATGGTCTCTCCTTCCGTCTCTTCTTCTCTCATGTGCTGCCACAACAGATTGGTGCAGGAATGAGTCCTAAAACCTGGAAATGACATAGCATTTTAGCACTTGTAGTTTCCTTGCCTCAAAGTCAATGTTTTTTAACATGTTTGTGCCTGAAATAAGGTTTGTGGTTAACGCAAGCTACTTTTCACCTTTTTTAATAACATAAATACATAATTAAATACCCCCTTTGTGAATGTTTAAAGCTACAGTATGTGTCATAAAAACGGTGGTTGCTACCAAGTGACTGAATAAACTCCTAAACGTCATCACACTGAATTAGCCGCCTTTAGCTTAGCGATGGTGATGCCCACCGATGCAATGATTTGAGTTTGACTATAGCCTAATTTTAGCTTTTTACTCCTGCGATTTGCATTCATAAGTGGAGATTATCATGCTGAACAATACGCGTTAAGTATCATAAACGTGTGTTGGCCACAGAGCTTATTTTCTGCAGTATACCAAAATCCAATTGAGAGCCCTTGTGATGCTAACTTCTGTTAGCCTACAATAATACTTCATCAATGCACCACTCTTTACCTCCAGTGTAATGACAGACAATATACTGTAAGCTTCACTTTAGTGAAAGGATGTGTGACAATGTAATACAGTAAAATTAGTTAAAGGTCACCTATTAATCAAAATCCACTTGTGCATGTCTTTTATACATACATGTGTGTCCCCTCTGTGTAAAGAGAAAAAACACCCCCTTTTTCCTGATCTATTTATATAAAAACCTTGGTATTTTAGCCAAACACTTCAAAGACATGTTTTGTATATAACTGAGAACTATAATATATTGATGAAAACGAGTATAATAGGGGACCTTTAATATAAGTTAAAGGGGCCCTATTATGCTCATTGTCAGGTTCATACAGTAGTTGTATTTTGTGCCTCTACTGTGACATGTTCCATGCTTTTATGTTAAAAAATCTCATTCTGCCTGTGCTGCAGCACCTTCTTTCACCCTCTGTTTGAAAAATGTTGGAGAGAAACTCGGGATGTTAGCCTTTGCAGACCATTTACATGCACAAAAACCTATATAACGCACACACGCTCACGCTCACGCTCACACATACACACACACACACACACACACACACACACACACACACACACACACACACACACACACACACACACACACACACACACACACACACACACACACACACCACACACACACACACACACACACACACACACACACACACACACACACACACACACAAAGAAAGGGAAAACCCCCCAAAAACATAATAAGGCCTCTTTAAATTTGAAGTGCTCACCTGCCATGTCTTCTCTCTGATTTCTTAGATCCTCCAACCATTTTGAAGCTTTTGGAGCCAGAACGGCGCCATGACACGTGCATCGAGTTCACGGTTCGAGGCTGGCCCCACCCCACCTTACAATGGTTCTACAAAGATAAGGTGCACCTGATCAATCTATTGTACAAATAAAATTTTCTAAAATATTTATTAACTCATGGTTGCTTTATTTGTTGCTAACCTGTGTGGAATAAAAATTGGGTGGGGGGCGGTGCAGTCTGCCAAGGACTGACAGAAGCACTGATCTAAGATTATATTTGTCCATCAATTAATAGATACATGTCTTTGCACAAGGCTACATAACATGATGATTATTTGCTCCCCTCCCAGGAAATATCCCACACTGAGTATGTGCGTCCTGATATGGATACGTATCAAGACTACATAGAAGGCTGCCTAACCTTTAAGGTCCCAACGCACCACAACAACGGCAACTACACACTGGTGGCCACCAACGAGCTGGGTGAGGCTGTCAGCACCATCTACGGGCACTTCATGGACAAGCCGATCGTTGATAGTAAGTTGGGTCTGTCTGTGTCATATCTACTATTATTAAAGTATAAACTATAGAAACACCAGAGATAATATGAACTGAATCCCTGTGATTGAAAGAATCAAAATAAAATGTTATAAGATATCTGTGTTACATATACTAGTACTATAAAAGGTACCAACCGTCTACTTAGACTCTTTCATATTTCACTCTGTTAGAACAAGGTACCATGAAAAGAAAAATGTTGTCCCTCATCTCTACCCCACTTCGTTTTGACCCAATTTAAGGCAGCCAGCTGGTTCCACAAACACACAACTGATAGATGTCTATCTTTGTGCAGCAGAGATGTGTCACGTGATTTGGAAACAAATGTAGCCTACACGTAATGTGTAGCCTTTAAGTGGCTCTCCTCCTGTTGGGGAAGCAGACCTGGAACTACTTTTGCCAGTAGGTGATACTAAATGCAAATTCCACGAAACTGCCAAGGCTTCAGCTGGTAGTACTTTCCATTGTGATTGGTCCATCAGATCTGTCAGAAGATCACAAAAGACAGAGAGGCTGGCTTCTGGCAGGAATGATTACAAAACACATGTGAATAGAGCAGGGGGAAATTCAAAAATAAATAATTAATACAATTTGTGAAAGAAGATAAGAGAAAATGAAATGAACAGAGTCCACACAATGGAGAAAACTAAGGTTACATATTTCTATACTGGACACTGGTAATACTCTTCTAAAATCACACGCACATGTTAGCCCACTGAAATAATTGACATAAGCGTGTCTGGCAAATCGGGACAAGCCTATCTGAATATGTTGGGCCACACGGTCTATACGTTACTATGTTTTATCCTACACCCTCTCCAGTGAGCGGCATAGGACAGACAGGGCCCCTGGTAGAGGGCTCTGCCTGTGCTTATAGAACTAGGGTTACAATACGTAACCTTTGTTTTAGCTAGGACAGGCTATGTACGCTCTGCAAAAACATCGACCTACCATACTGATACTGACCGGTTTAAGGTTGCTTCCCATGGAGCACAAAGAAATGTAGGAGTATCATGCCCAAAAGGGGATTCCTGGTAAAACTTAACCAGTGGGAAATTGCCGATCACTGAAGAGAAAAAGGATAACAGTCAGCAACTTAGCTGCCTTATACAGTAAACCATGTGGTCAGCATGTATCCGGGTAAGCTCGTTTTGATTGGCCAGCTACGTGTATGAAATGTATTACAGTGGGCGAATATGTGTGTTTAATTGGAAAATAATATTACCTTTTAAGTCGAGTAGAGGGCGGAGCCTGTGTGAGTCAGAACATGAAGTCGAGTGACACAGTGGAAGGGTCTAAGTAAGAAGACCTACCAAAAGACCTACATAACAATCCTGGCTTGAGTTGTCGCTTGAGAAGACTGGAACATTTTCTTAGTCTTTTGACACAAAACTGGCCTTGCAGGTTTTAATGCGAAGCTCTGTGAATGGCATGGAGAGAAAAGCACTCTGGTATGGCGCTGGACTAATTCCCTAAACTTTTAGAGAAAGATTATTCCATTTACAGGGCTAAACATTTTTAATATAGTCATTGATGCTGTGGTTGGTCAATATGGATTTTAAAACCTAAAACCCACACTTCAGTAACGTAGTAACTTTGGCATGGAACCACTAATACTGACAGATTGTTCAAGTCTAATTTCTAAAGCAACGGTAAACATTCTAGCCCTTAAGTGTTACATTAGCTTGCATGCTACCGTTGACAGATATAAAAAATGAGAGTCAAAAGATGAACTCAAGTTTTGGCATCAGAATAGACAACACTACTCTGTTCTCATCCAGGCTCTCTGGGACCCTCTGCCACGATAACCCTCATACTAGCCGGCAGTGTTTGATGCACCATTATTTGCAAATCTTTTATGCGTATGCGTGTGATGCAACCAAATAAAAGAATCAGTGAAGATTTCAAAACTCCTGTCGTCTGAGCCTATGTTAACTGCAGCAACACTGCATTATTTGCTGAAATAAAGCTCATATTTAGTCTTAGTGAGAATGCAGGAGAGCTACATTTAGACAAGGTGATGTTCTTGTTAACAGTGTTATTTCTGGTGTTATGCTCTTTTCTCACCTGGCACCCGTGCTCTGTTTCTTATCTAACATTTTTCTTCTCTTAATCTTTCCCCTGCACCATCAAACATGTGTGTTCTATGCTGTATTACAGCCTCTTATATATCTTGTTCATTTTTCTTTCTCCTCCCATAGGTTCAGAGACAGATTATATTTATGGTAAGTGCCTTTAACAAGAATCTCATTGACATAAGACTTTATGGTTAGGACCCTCTGGTTGTCAAGAGGGAGTAAGCTCTTCCTCCGCATATGTAAAAGCCCTAAACGTTCACGCTGACTCTTATATGATTAGCCTGTGTGCAGATTGCATTGAATAGCTTTACATTTAATATACATATTATATCACAGAACATAGTGACGTGATAAAATCCCCACAGACTGACAGTTCTTGTCATAAATCGTAAAGTGGGACTATGTTTCTCCATACCAATGAACTGGCGACTGTGTAATGATATAATATGTGAATAGATCAGAGCAAACAGGAGAGTGACAGCAACACGTTCATCAACAAATCAAACTGTGCTAAGGGGTTTCAGGCTTCAGCAATATGCAGTGTGTGTGGCTAAGTCAATCTTGGATTTGTTGAGTGTGTTTCAGAGAGATGCTTAGTTCTCATTTCAGAACGCCCTCTTAAGTGTTGTTGAATATGACTGGATTTTCACAAGCAAGGACCGCGCCACAACAATATGTTAGTCAAAGATTCAATTTAAAGAGATATTGAATGTAAGGGGAAGGGATGAAGAAGGACGAGGGATGCTGTCTGTCAGAGTCCAACAGAGAGAGACTCAGGGTGGGGGTTCAGTCTCAGGCGTGTTTCTGCCAGATCTGAATACCAGACCCCAGACAGTAACTAGAATGGGACAAAAGCATGCAGCAGATTAAAGAAGAATAGATTAGGGGAGACAGGAAAGGGGGATACAGGAATGTAGGGGAGGAGGGATGTGGTTATGTAGTGACATAGGGTTCAAGGGATGTATGAGCGGAGGGCTGAAAGGTGGAAGGGATGTAGTGATGGGAATGAGGGTCGAAGGGATATAACTATGGAGGCACAAAGGAATGTAAGGATGAATGGACAAAAGGTGTAGGGAGGAAGGGATGACAGGTAGGGAGGGAAAGATGAAGGGATTAAGGGATGTTGTTGAGGAAGACAGAGGAAGGTAAATGATAAGGAGAGATGTGCCTCGAAGGGACGTAGGGAGGGAGAGATGAGCATTAAAGGGATGTAGGGATGAATGGACGTGGTGAAATTGGAGAAAAACAAGGCCAGATTTGGTGGTTTGGCGTGTGGTTTGGCGTGTGGTTTGGCGTGTGGTTTGACGTGTGGTTTGGCGTGTGGTTTGGCGTGTGGTTTGGCGTGTGGTTTGGCGTGTCCCTGCTCCTGAAAGTCAGATGTACTTCATATGTTGTAGGATGCAAATAATGTTAGGTCTCCACAGCCTCTGCATGCATATGAGGATACAACATACATAACCCTAACCCTTAGAACTTTTGTAGATGAACATATTGTAAGTACCTTACTGTGCAGCATTGTACTGTTAAAAGTACTTGTGCAAAACTTGAGTATTTGCTTTTTTAACGCTACACTATACTTACGTTACATCTTATCATTTTGTTCTTGATAACCCACAGTTAACTGGCAGCTGTGGTTACTTTGCAGATTCACATTTCACATTCATGCATGGTTAATCATTATAGACTACCCAACTATAGGTCAAATTATAACACTAATTCATACTTCTTAAAAAATAATGTGTCATCACAACAATACAACAATGTCCTACATGTATTCATTAGCCACTTTCAGTAGCCACTTTCTTACAAAGATCAGATTTATTGCAGGACTTCTGACCTGGACTGGGGTTATAGACAATATTGTCTCTGTCCTCTGTCCAATAACTGGCCTATAAAAACATCATGGCACGGCCTCTTTGTCTGAAGCTTTTTGTTCGCTGTTGGTTTGTGTAGCTCATTAGTTTATTGTTGTATGTGTGATGACTTCATGCCGTTTCCTTGCACAAGCAGCAGGACAGTAAAGTCTGTGTGTTCTTGTGTTTTTTCCCGCTAGTTACCCCGACTAATGAAACTCACAAACCTGACGAAGATACTTTCAGGGTAAGTGTGATATTCAACATGTTTGGCTGAGGCTTCATCTACTGGCGTGCAGGTAGTGAAACAAAGCCCATATTCAACTGAATGTACTTTTTCTGACCAATAGTGTCATTTGAATTGCTAATGTTTCATGTAAATGACCTTCATGCTATTTAGCCAACATCAAAGAGTGTTCTTTTCTTCTTGGAAAATACTTGGTTATAATAATGCAGCTGGTGTTGTTGATATCCTGTCAGTGTTGTCTTTAATCAGTGAAAGAAAAGTCACATTGCAGTCCGTTTTAATATTATAGGGTCACAGTCACTGCTTGAAAAAAAAGCTTTTATTGTGTATCCTCTACGGCGCATCATTTAATTAATACCGAGTGCAGACGTTGGTTTCTTCCATAGTATGTCAATCCTTGTTAAGCTATAAATAACCACATTTGTTCTCAATTCAATCAAAACCAATAAGTGGCAGTTGTCATTTTGGCCAGCAAACAATGGTTACAAACAAAACGTCCTTAAAGCATTTGAAAATTAAACTCATATTTAAAAGAAATACATATAAAATATAAACAGTAGATACATTATGCAGGGTTCATACACTTTTTCACCAATGATTTTCAATGACTTTTCCATGACTTCTCCATGACCTTTACCTACTTTTCCATGACCAAAAAAATTACTCTTTCTCAGCGGTACGACTGAAAATAGTTTATTTTAACATGGAACAGGAAAATAAGGTCTGCATATGAAACATGTGCCTATCTAAAACAAATCAAATAGTAGGCTTACTAGCTTCTACACGCTAAAGCAACTCAAATCTCTCACCAGCAAAATACCTCGTCAGTTAAATGCCATTTTACGTTTCATTACTATACGATACAGTATTTATTATCATTATAGTATTACTATTTCGGCGATTAGATAAAATATAAATTATATTTGATGCAACTTTAGTTAAATGTCCATGACTTTTCCAAAACTTTGGGAAAAATATTATAGGTTTTTAATGACCGTAAGACCCCTGATTATGATACATTTTCAAAATTGAGTTAAACGCAGCAACCGTCTGTCTGTGTCTTACCTCATAATGACCATTATATTAAACTACCAGTGTGCAAAGAAAGAGAAAAATAGATGTGAAACAGAAATTCAAGAAGTTACAGTGTAAAGAGCCGAATGTGCTTTTGAATCCTTCCCCTCATTCACGTGGCCATTAGTTCTATCTGCTGAAAGCCTCTGGTGGCTGGTAATCCTGAGAGTTGGTTAGAAATGTAATTGAGTTCATCTTTTTCCTGTAATTGACTGTAAAAAGACAACTGTTGAGACTGTGGCTTTGAGGGAACGTCTATGTGGGTGCATCTTTTCTCTACATATTTTAGTGTTTGAATCTGGGTTTAAAAATGGAAAATATGTATGGGAGCGTCCTTCTCAGCCTTGTCTCACAAATACTCAAATGTACCACAGTCTTTTAACACCACATTAAATGGTGGTGGCACCTAGTGTACGGTGGCCGACAGGTGCAAACTCGCTACAACAGTTACAAACTTTTCCATTAGGAGAAACGTGCTGCAAAAGAAACGTCTTCACCAACTTGACGAAACATGCGCAGAGTTGACTAAATACGCTGGGTGAAGGAAACGCTGTGAATACAAAACGCTGCAAGAAGCTCAAAACACAACAGAAACAGGGGACACTTAAAAGTGACGCACACGGCTGAACACAAATAGTATATATTACACATGTTTTTGATGTATATATTGTTGGGATATGACTTGAGCAATGAACTGCAAATAAACAATATTGTTAAACACATTTTATATGTGGGAGGGATAACATGTACATTGGGAGGGCCATGCACTACCTGGCCCTCCAACAGCGCCTGGGTGGTACATTATCTGTTAAAATGACGTTATGGCAATTATGCCAGATGCAATAAAAACTGTACTTCTGGTTCTAAGGCTGAACAAGTGGCTTTTATCATCTGTCACTGTGACAGGAAGTGGACTTTCAAACTGAAATATGAGACATTCTCTTTGTTTCAATCAGAAAGAGAGGAACAGCAAAAAACCTGGATGTATTAGAACAACTTTCTTGGGAAATATGTGAGCGTTTATAAGAAAAGAGATTCAACCTCTCGGGACTAAATTGTTAAATTTGTCAATTTTGGCATTTTGGGAAATTGAGGCCTCACCATAGGGAACGAGACCTGCTGCGGTCCCTGCTGTGCATAAATTGTCTTTTGTCTCTTCCTGTGGATCTGCGATGATTGTCCTAACACTGTTCCCCTCCCCCTTCTGTAGGTGTCCGTAGCAGTGGGCCTGGCAGCGTTTGCCTGCGTGGTTCTGGTTCTCCTCTTTCTCTTCATCAACCAATATGGACGCCGCTCCAAGTTTGGCCTGAAAGGTAAGAAGACAATCTGTTTCTCTCAATCCTTTTGTGAATTCAGTCTCCAGTCAACAGGCTGTTTCTGAGTTGTGCTTCTCTAATAAACAGTTTTCATTCATCTTCCCTTCTACTTTGCTGGGCTTCTGTTTTGAGTTTGACGTTATTAAGCTACTGAATGTATTTACTAATGGAAGCTTCCTACTCAACAAAGAACAGCTCACAGCTTTATTTGTAGGGATGTTAATGCGTGAATGAAAAGTACTGAGTAGGAAATGATAAATACTGTATACATGTACAAATAAATGTACATGCTAGTTGCATTCTTTATTGAGGGTTTTCATGTAGGCCTATTAGTGGAAGTCAATTATAGGAGAAATATAAGAATATTATTAATCTGAACACATGCTACAACTAGACTTAAACTCTTTGATCTCTTTGTTTAATATTGTCATGTGTCTGTTGGTATCTTTGGCATGTTCACTTGGACAGGACACACACACACACACATACTCCATGTCTTAAGGGCACACACACAGAAACACCATATCAACCATCTGTTGATTACATCCATCTGTTCATTTAGTGCCGCCTTAGAGCCAACCCATTAATGCCTGTAGGGTGAGTGTGCACTTCCAGACACACACACACACACACACACACACACACACACACACACACACACACACACACACACACACACACACACACACAGATGAAGTGTGTTGATATGGAGACTGAGACACTCAAAATGGATGCTTTTTGAGTAAGACGGAGCCAAGAAAAAAACTGATGATTCCATTAAGTCTCCATAAACCCTCCTCTTCATACACTCTGTTCCTCTGTTTGAGGAGGAAATTACATCTGCTTTTTCCTCAAAAGGAATATTGTCGTCTTTATCACACGGTAATCTTCTTTTAGATCCAATAGTCTTCTAATGTCCAGGAGATGTCCATCTGTCTGTCTGCCAGCGTCTGTCTCGCTCCTCTTTCTGTATTTTCTGAATTGTCACGATAGCAGCACAAACACTTTGGAATAAGCTAAAACTGTTCTGCATTCAAAAAAATACAGTGCAATATATTCATTTCACTTCTTTGGATTTCAATGGATTTCAATAGACTGTGTTTTGGCTTATATGAATTGATATTCTGTCTATTTTTTATATTTTGATTTGAAAGTAAGAGTTAGAGTTAGGGTTTGTGTTAAGGGTTAAGGGTAAGAGTCAGTATGCCCAATGCTGTCAATGGACACATTTTTTTTATCATGATTAATCGCAAGGTTAAAATACTACGATTTACCTTACACTTGTGGTTTTGTAATAAAGAAATGCATGACAAACTGATAAGAGAAACAAACAGGGTTTTATATTATAACTATATTATTACACGATTTCAGAATTATTGTCAGGAAGTCCAACAATTTCCAGAACTTAGCTAAGGCATCTACAAAGCCGCTGTCACGGAGAACCGCTGTATTCACCGTCCGTATAATGTGCACTACACAGGACATACAGTATGCTCGTAGTATTCTTGCTTCCGCTATCATACTGCGAGCACCATCCAGTGGGACCCAGTTTGCTATCTCCCACTCCTGTGCAACTTCAAGAAACTGGCGTATAGTTTGAAAAAATATCTTTCCTCCCTTTTCACCACGCGTAAAGCGAAAGTGCAGTTGTGCCTTTACACCGAGATAGTGATGGTTCTTACTGATGTGAAGTGGTCTCCAGTGAATGCCAATTTATCTGCTTTCTTTGCCTTTTCACTGCCATGCAATTCATGGTAAACATCTCGTAGACGCTGGTATATAGGAGATCAAATGTGGTAATGTGATTCATTTGTGAACATTTTCTTTAACGCATTAAGGTTTCCAGATTGATCCCGAGCGTTAACACATTAATGATGACAGCCCTGGGTTATACATGTTTCATATTAGCCTACATGTCTGAATATTATACATCGGTATCTGGAGTTTTTGTCACATGTGAAATGTCTAAAACCCATGCTATTTTACTACACATGGAAGTGCTGTGTTCACATGGGATGTCTGTGTTGATACTGAGACATCCAGCATTGTTCCCATCTGTTTGCCTGCATTGTTGGACTCTGTGCCACTTCAGATTATGGAAAACTCAAATCACAGACAATCTCCTGCATTACGTTCAGCTTGTTGCCTTGACAACTTAAAGCTTCTGCTCTCAGAGGTCTGGCCAGCCCAGTAAAAGGCTTGGAGGTTTTGAACCATCTTTATTATATTTAATTCATGGTTGTGTGCTCATTGCTCTGCCATCCATTACAACGTTTATTGAACATTGAGTGTATTTCTGCAAAAAGAAATGTCTATATAGGTGAGACAATATGTATCTGGCCCCTTTTAGCGGAGCTGATGTTTCAGAATCTTGAACATTTATAGATTTAAAATGTCCAAATAATTTGTAGTTTGTAGATTCTCAAAACCAATTTGATTCCATTTAAAAAGATTTTGTTTAAATCCCTTCAACGTTCACTCCTTTATTACAATTTGAATACTGTTGAACAGAAAATGATTCCTACTTTAATAAATATTTTATGTTGCTATGAAAACATCTCGATGTATTATCTCCTACAAGACTACATTGAACACAGCATGACGAGCGGGTGTACTTCCACATTTTTGACAAAGCCAGGCTAGCTGTTTTCCCCTGCTTCAAGTCTTTATGCTAAGCTAGGCTCACCTTGGCCTTGAATCCAGCTCCAACACACAGACATGAGATTGGTTTCCATCTGACCATCTCTCTAAGAATGAAAGGAATTGTTCATATTTCTCAAACGGTTGAAATGTCCATTAAAGCTGCATTCACATGACAAGCAGTAAAACGGCTCTGCGCTGGTGTTTCTGATGTTTTCCTATGGGGGGGGGGGGCATGCAGCTCGACTAGGCGCAAACGCTACCCTTGGCTTGAAATTCTCGCCAAGCGTTGCGCTCAAAGTTTAAATTATTTCAACTTTGACCTTGATTGCTGCTGGCCCTATCAATGCGCAACCAATCAGATGACAGCTGTGTTAAGCGGCAAAAGCTAGCAGGGGAGGTAACCATAGAAACATTACTTATCTTATCTATTTTTACAAAAAGGCTCCACGCCCAACTTCTCAGTGAGCAAAAGAGCATATTGCATGTCATGTGAATGCAGCATAAGAGTGAAAAAAAACTGCACATTTCTCAAACTCAATATTCCTTAAACCATATCACTAAACCAACTGCCCACAGTACCTGGGACTTTACTCTCTGCTTCACCAGACTATCAATTCACCGTGGATTTTGTTAAATCCAATTAAAGTCATAATAGCCCATGCTAGAATGGCTCTTCTTACAAGCATAGCAAAGCTTTAATGTGAATTAGTGATATGAACCAACATGATCAGGTACGGCAGCACGTGTTTCTGCTGTCAGCCTGGATGTAATTACTGTGACACTGCAGTGAGCTCCATTAGCTTTCCAGAATGATGCTAATGGAGGCAATGTTCCTGAATAGGTAGTAGATGATGTTTTAGCCACAATATTTTGATTTAGCAATTGGACATTTGCATTGCATCTCCAGAGAAAGCACACAGAAAAACATAGACAGGAAAAAGAAAGGTTTCCTGTTCTTATTGTTGGGTTCCTTTCTGAGAAAATATAATACATTTCATTCAGCATTGAGATGAATACAGTGCCAAGCTAATAAAGCACCTACTCAACTAAATAGAAAGGAGTGGACAGAAGTGAATGGAATTGGTAGAAAAGGAAGGGACATTCGGGAATTCACAAAAAGATATTTGGGGTTGTTCAGGGTTGCAGGATGTCACTTCAGAGTTTACCTGCAGCTCTTCTTATGGCGTCATGGGAATAACATCATCCGTCTTTTTTTACATTATAATAACAATACTTTTGCTCAAGTGATATTTCCTTTCAGAGTTGTTTTGGTTCTCATTGCAAGGCCGTGAAAGGTTGACACTGCTTTACCTTTTTTTTTCGATGGCACCTGTGTTGGCCTTGGGCTAAAAACACACTAGCTCAGGATATAGCCAAAGGCAAGTTGTGGAATAAACATAGAAATACACTGAGGAGTCCAACGGGGATGTCACAAGAACCGATACTAAAGTGCCAAGTCCATTTCAAAGTGCTCAAAACTCAAGGTCCTTGTTTTTCTACAGTTACACAGAGGACCAAACCTATTGCTTCCTAAAAAGCTACATTTTGAACAACAAATGTGTGTCAAACTTGACAGGAGAACTTGTTACTGTTAGCTGTTTGCAGCCAGTGGAACCAAGTTCCATAGAGTACATTAGACCAGGGGTTTTCAAAGTGTAGGAAGGTGAGCCTCCCCTCAGAGAACATAAGAACAGCCGCGCCCCCCCTCCCAATTAGTATTGCTATTATTATTATTGTTGTTGTTGTTGCTATAATGCAGGGGTATTCAATTGCATTTCAAAGAGGTCCAGTAAGAGAAAATGTCATTAAATGCTCTGTTTTCGCTGTCTACCTTCCGCCATTTGAAATGACTCCGACTGTTTCTCTCCTCTTGTCTCGTCTCCGTGTGTGTTTGAATCTATCGTGCTGACTCACTGACTGCACCCATTTGATTGGCTGAGTAACGTCACCTCCTTAAAACATTAAAGAATAACTTTTTAAAACCTTTTTATCTTTATGTTTTAAACATTTTTTTTAAACATTTTTAACATTTTCAACATGGTGGATAAATCCTTATATGCTCCCGGCAACACACTGAATGTCAACTTTGCCTCCTTATTACACTCACCCCTACTTTAGTGGGAACAATGAGTCTGCGTCTTTGATGCGCACAGGCGGATGATGCGGGGATGCAATGGAGACAGGAATAAACGCAGATCATCCTCTGGCTGCAGCCTTGACTGGTACTTGCTTTTGATCAAAGTAAGTATTATTCAAATTAAAATAAAGGGCGGTGCCGGCTGTCAGCGAACCGAGCCGGCCGTCAACGGCCCGCTGACGACCGGCCAACGACCGGCCGTTCTGTGATTCTCCAG